TCGGAAACCTCTTCCTCCTCTTCATCCTCCTCCTCGTGGTGTTTCTTCCTGAGGTGTTTCCGTCTTTTCCGCTTCTTCTGGAGGCTGCTCCCATCCCTGCCCACGGCCTCCTCACTGCTCTCGCTGTCTTCCAGCAACTTATAAGACCGGTTCTTCTCCAGCAGGGCTCGGGCCTCCCGCTCAGCTGCCCGAGCTGGCTTTTCTACCACGGCCTTCCGCGGCACCTGTCAGCAGAAGAGAAAACAAGCAGCTCTGGCTTCACCACCCTTATCTGCCAATTTCTTAAACCAGCCTTCTTCATCCTCAGCTCAACCGGGGCCTCAACTCTGAACCTCCTTTTAGGAATCCATTTAACAAAGGATGATTGAAAACTGCCCTACGGTGGAAGGCAAGAACCAATACCCACAGGCTGTCCTCTGACATCCGCACATGGACATCCACACACAATGGATTTTTTAAAAATTTTTTGTTTGTTTGTTTGTTTTTGAGACAGGGTTTCTCTGTGTAGTTTTGGTGCCTGTCCTGGATCTCGCTCTGTAGCCCAGGCTGGCCTCAAACTCACAGAGATCCACCTGGCTCTGCCTCCCGAATGCGGGATTGAAGATGGAGCACCACCACCATCACCACCACCTGGCTTATTTTTGTGTGCATTCTGTTTTGCTTTCCTGTGTGTCTGTGTTGAATCCCCTGGAACTGGAGTTACAGATAGTTGTTAAGCTGCCATGTGGGTGTTGGGAATTGAACCTGGGTCCTCTGGAAGAGCAGCCAGTGATCTTAATCTTTGAGCCATCTCTCCAGCCCCACAATAGGGAGAAAAATGGCCCTGCGTTCAAGTAGTTTACATTGTACAACTCATTTTTTTTTTATTTTTTATTTATTTACGGGTATGCGTACGGGTACCTGGCAAAGGCCTGAAGGAGGCATCAGATCCCCCTGGAGCTGTAATTACAGGTCGTTGTGTGCCACTAGACCCGGCTGCTGAGAATTCAGTTTTCCGGAAGAGCAACAAGGATTCTTGACTGCTGAGCCATCTCTCCCAGCCTCCATCCTGTTTCTGAATTGCTAATTCCCAAAGCTCTGTTCTTCTCGGTGGCTTCTCCCAGCTCTTGGGATTGAATCCAAGGCTTACTGCATGCTACACAAGCACTCTACCGACTGAGATACATCCTCAGCCCTGGAGTATGTACTGTAACTAACGCGACCCTAGGTTTAAACATGTATGCAGATCCCTCTCTCCTAAGTCTTCTCCACAGAGCTGTAAGCCCAGCAGCACCTAGCACAGTACTTAGGTAACAGAGGACAAAAGACAGATGTTTGGCACAGCCAGGAGTGGCAGGCCTCTCTGTTATGGGAGGCTCTCTGCAAGTTCGAAGCCAGCCTGTGTACTACACTGAAAGTTCCAGGCTATCCTAGAATAGACTGCTACCCTCCGTCTCAAAACAAAAGATGAGTGTGCGTGAAGCCGCCTAACTCAGCTGCGAGTGGGCCGCCGCGAAGGCACACACCTTGCTCCAGAGCCTCAGCGCGAAGTCCCGCGCCGGCCCGCCGAGGTCCAGAGTTTCGGTGTCGCGCAGGCGCTGCACAAACTCCTCGGCCGAGGCGCAGCGCTGCGCCGTGCCGATCAGGAACTGCGCGACGTGCCGCTCGCTCAGCCCCAGCACCGAGTGCAGCTCCTCCTGCACCCATCGCTCCAGCCCCGCCGGCGTCGCCATGGCGACGCGTCCCGCTTCGCGCGCGCAGCTGCGGAACAGCCAGGACGGCAGCGGGGCCAGGAGAAGCCTGCAGCGCCACGGCCCCGCACCGGCCGCCTGGAGACTACTTAGTCCAGAGTGCGGGGCTGGGTAGCCCTAAACTGTCTTCCAGAACGGCGAAACCCGGAAAGAGTTGCGCTCTTCCGGCCAGAGCCTAACGGTGGCTGGGCGGGTTCAAATCGCGCAGCCTTTTTCGGGACACTCGGGTGCAAGCTCTCTGTCGCCCCCGATGGTCCGTGCGCGGATGCTGCGTTCAGTCAACACAAACCCTCTCTCCAGGCCCTGCTTACTAGATGGTTTCCACAGCTTGGTATAAAGGAATACAAATCAGGTTTAGGGAAACAAGACATATAATAAGGTGCTGAAAAGATTGCTCGGAGAACTCGAGTTCGATTCCCAGCACCCACGTTCCTCACAACCTTATAACTCCAGCTCCAGGGGGATCCCACACCTCTGGTTTCTACTGACACCTGAACTCACTCACACACATACACACAAACACATAATGTGCACATGCTCACAACACATAGTTAAAAATATTAAAAATAATCTAAACATAACTTACTAGAAATATGTAAGTTGGGTGGGAGTTCCGGTATCTTCAGATTTTTTTTTAAAAAATATGCTTATTTATTTTACGTGCATGTGTGTTTGTCTGCATATCTGTACCAGGTGTGTGCAAGAGCCTTTTTAGATCAGGGATATTGTGTCTCCCTGGAGCTGGAGTTATAAACTGCTGGTTGTGAGCTGCCTGATGTGGATGCTGGAAACCAAAATCAGGTCCTCTGAAGGAGCAGCAAGTCCTCTTAGCCACTGAATCATCTCTCCAGCCCCTCTTTCTGGTGTGTGTGTGTGTGTGTGTGTGTGTGTGTGTGTGTGTACATATATATGTGTATGTAGACCACTTAGAAGCCTAGAGAGGGCATGCGATCTCCTAAAACTGTAGTTACAGGTGAGCCATCACGCTGGGAGTGAAACCAAGTCCTCTGCAAGAGCAACAAGTGCTCCTTGACCCCTAAATCCTCTGCTCCCACTTTCTCAGTGTTGGGATTATAAACATGTACCACACTTGGTTGAAATATGTAATTTATATGCAATCAAAAATAATGAAAAGTTGCTGGTGGTGGTGGCGGCGGCGGCGGCGGTGGCAGCGGCGCACGCCTTTAATAGCAGCACTCTGGAGGCAGAGGCAGGTGGATCTCTGTGAGTTCCAGGCCAGCCTGGTCTACAGAATGAGTTCCAGGTCAGGCAGGAATACATAGTGAAACCTGTGGTGGGAGGGAATTCAAGTAGATTCTATTTCAAACTGATAGGGGAAGGGGGGGTAAGGTTAAAGTATTACATATTGTAAAAAAGAGTCTTCGTATGGATGTTATTTTTTGTTATTATGTATACAGTGTTCTGCCTGCATGTATGCCTGCACACCAGAAGAGGGCACCAGATCTCATTATAGATGGTTGTGAGCCACCATGTGGTTGCTGGGAATTGAACTCAGGACCTCTGTAAAGGCAGTTAGTGCTCTTAACCTCTGAGCCATCTCTCTAGCCCCCACATGGATTTTACTAACAGTTTAGCACATACCTACAGTTAATGGTTTGCTGTGAGTTAACCCCTTCCTAGCACTGATGACCCTGGAGAAGCAGGAGATACCAGACCCCCAACTCAATTTCCAGAAGTGTCCTAGAGAAGCACAGATGTCACTAGTCTCAGAAATGTGGCCGACTGCCTGACCAGAGAGGCGGGACTGTTTTGGAATAATTAATGGTCTCTGTTTCCTTTTCCACTTTCTCTAAAGCCTGTGGCTGGAGAGGAGACGGAAGTTTTCTAAGATGCTGATCCATGGCCTTGTCAGATGCAAACTCCGAATGAAGCACAGCTTGGACATTCTCGTCTCTGCTGTTGGGATGTCTTCCTTCCTTTTTTTTCCTTTTTTTTTTTCTGAGACAGTATTTCTCTGTGTAGTTTTGGTGCCTGTCCTGGAACTCACTCTGTAGACCAGGCTGGCCTGGATCCGCCTGGCTCTGCCTCCTGAGTGCTGGGATTGAAGGAGTGCGCCACCACTGCCCGGCTACTGGGATTTCTATTGGTGATAGACAACACAAGTTACAACTGGTCAGGTCCAGGAACCTAAGTGGACAGGACAGCGCATGCTTGAAGTTGTTCCTATTTGGTGAATTGCGGCAAAAAAAAAAATCACCTGATCCCAAAAGCGAGATCCCAAAGAACTTGGGGAGGCTCTGTCTGTCTTTTCCATTGTTTTTGGTAGTATTGGCTTGGTTTGCCATTGTTGTTTTCTTGTGTGTATATATATATGTATATACATTATGTATGTATGTATGTATGTATGTATTCGTTTGTTTGTTGAGACAGGATTTCTCTGTGTAGCCTGGCTGTCCTGGAACTCATTCTAGAGATCAGGATGACCTTAAATTCAGGGATCTGCCTGACTCTGTTTCCCCAGTGCTGGAATTAAATGTTTGTCACTACACCTGGAGACACACACACACACACACACACACACACACACATACACACACACACACACACACACACACACACACAC